GAACCGGGCCCGGAGCGGTGAACCGCGGGCGCAGCGCTCGGGGTGTGGCGTAATTCTCCGGCCCCCGTGTCCGTCTCAAACGCCGGAAAGGTGGTTCGGTGGGCGAGTCCACGAGACTCTCCTTGGCGAGCTGCCCCTCGGCGGCCCCCTTCCAGCGGCACTGAGCCTGGACCGATGCTTTCCTCTCCCTCCCTCCCGCTTTGCTGCGCCAGGACCCCAAATACCCCGTGGATAACCTGCTGCTGGAAGAAGAGCCGCAGCCCTGGCTCTGCTGCCCTTCCGATCGCAGCCGGCAGCTGAAAGCGGAGTTGCAGCTGGAGCACGCCAGCTGCATCGGCTACATCGACGTGGGTAAGCCCGGGATGAGTGGTGAGCGTGCCGTGAACTGGTCTTCTGGCGCGGAGGGAAGGGGCAAGCTCCGGCTCCCGGGGCTGCTGCAGGAGCACGGGGAAAAAGGTGTGAACATTTGCCTAAATGGAACTACAGGTAGTCCTCGTTTAACAACCACTCATTCAGCCTTTGCTTGAAGTTACGAAGGCGCTGACTGAGTGGGACTTATGACCGATCCCCGAAGTTTCAGCCATCCCAGCATCCCTGCGGTCATGTGATCGCGATCCGGGCACTTGGCAACCAGTTTGCACTTGAACAGTTGCAACATCTCAGGGTCACACGATTGCCATTTACGGCCTTTCCTGCCGGCTTCCCCCCAGCGAAGCCAATGGGGAAGCCGGCAGGGAAGGTCGTAAGTCGCTCTGGTAAGTCGCTCACACCCTCCCCTGCCTGGCAGCAGCCACTTACCCACCTGCTGGCCTGCTTGTGAGCCACCTGGGACTCGCTTAACGACGGCAACAAGGAGTGCTGGGATTGCCGTCGCTAAGCGATGTGGTCATGTCACATCTGGCTTTATGACCGCAACGCTTAGCGAAGGAAATCCCAGTCCCAATTGCCATCATTAACTGTAACTGACTACCTGTAACTGAATTCGCTGACAGCTGGATCCTTGGCTCTGTGGTTGTGCTGTAACGCAGCCCGAGGGAAGAGAAAGGGGAGGCTGTGTCGGCAGAAGGCAGCTTTGGCTCAACGGTAACAGAGTTTCCTGTTTTGGTTTCCAGGGAACTGTGGCTCTGCTTTCCTCCAGATAGATGTGGGGCGATCCTCCTGGCCTCCAGATCAGAGTTACCTCACTCTGCTGCCCACCACCACCTTGATGGGCCCAGCAGACGCCAAACTGAACAAGAATCGTTCTGGGGTCCGGATGTTTAAAGAAGGTAAAGGAAAGGCAGGTGCTGGTCCAGGATCTGGGGTTGGAGCTGGGCTTGCTCAGCGTCAGCTTTGCTGTGTCCGCAGGGGACCTGCTGGCCTCAGCTATGGCTGAGAAGTGGGATCGAGTCCGGCTCATCTGCAGTCAGCCCTTCAACAGGCACACCCAGTTTGGCCTCTTCTTCCTCCGCATCCGCACTCCGCGGGATACAGAGGACAGCCAAGCGGATCCAGCCGCCTCCTCCCCTTGTCAGGTATGGCTCTGTGGGAGATGTTTGGGTTCGGGACAAAATGGAGCATCTAAAACAGTGTTTCTCAACCTTGGCTGCTTTAAGATGTCTGGACTTCAACTCCCAGAATTCCCTAGCCAGTGTGCTGGCTGGGGAATTCTGGGAGTTGAAGTCCAGACATCTTAAAGTAGCCAAGGTTGAGAAACACTGATCTAAAGACTCATAGAGCCAAACAGAGACCAGGCACAATTACGCTGATGATAGAATTACAGTTCATCAGCAGCAATGTAATAGGAAGCTACGGCCAATATGGTTGATAACCGGAACGTTTCCAATGGGGTTAATTTACATAGCTATTAAGATACGCAGTGAAAAGGTGGATGAAATGGGATCACACTTCTCAACCCAGTGGAGCTTTGACTTAAATAAAGGGTCTAAGAATTTTTAATTAATTGTTATTTTAGTTTAACCGTTATCTAAAAAAAGAAACCCCTGTCCAACCTGGCTCCTTTGGGTAGTCAAGAGATATGGCAGGCTGAATTCAAGAGGTGATTAATGCTTCTCTGAGCAAAGGAGGTAGTTGCTCTCCTTGAAGGAGACGATGATATGCCTTCTCCTGAAGAGGCTTTCTCGTAGTCCAGCCAAGATGGACAGCTTCTGCCCAGTCTCCAACCTTCCCTTGGGGATAAAGAGGGAGTCCTAGAGGAAACTAATTACCTAAATTCCTTTCAGTCAAGAGTCATGCCCAGACATGGGATGGAAACACCAGTTATTGTTATATTAAATTTGTTATGGCTGACCACTGCAAAAGACTCAGGTGCTCAGATGGGTGAGTTTTGTCAGGAACTGTCCTATGAAACCTCTTAGTGATCTTCAGTCCCATTGACCCTGGCATCTCTCTAGACTGATTGCAAGGATTGAGGACTTGGTGGTTTCCTCTCCTCCCTGAGGGGAGGGTTCCAGTTGGTAGTTGTGGGGAAGAGGGATTGAGCATGGCTACTCCACTCTAAGCTACCGTGGGGGTTGGTCCCCTCCCCCATGTTGCTTGATATCTATATGAAACTGCTGGGGGAGGTCATCCATTAGTTTGGGCTGAGGTTGGCAAAGGAGTGCGACAAGGCTGCATGCTCTCCCCTTATTTATTCAATCTACATGTGGAATATAAAGGGATGCTGGATTGGAAGAAGAAGAGGAGCGTGGTTTAAAAGCAGAGGAAGAAACATTGATAACCTGCGCAATGCTGATGACACGACCCTGATAGCTGAAAATGCAAAGGGTCTACTAGCCTTAGTAATAAAAGTCAAAGAGCAAAGTGAAAACATTAAATATAAAGCTAACATTAAATATAAAGAAGATCCACCTAATGACAACAGGTAGAACAGCTAGCTTTAGAACTGGCAATGAAAGATATCGAAGGGGTGGGTGTGATGGCTTTTAGCCTCAACCATCAACAGTAAAAGAACCAGCAGTCAAGAAATACGCCGCAGACCAGCACTTGGTGGAGTAGCCATGAAGGCCTTGGAAAAAATATTCAAATGCTGTGATGTGTCTATATCTACAAAGATCAGAATCGTACAAGCCATGATATTCCCTGTGGCCCCCTATGGAAGTGAAAGTTGGACTTTGAGCAATGATGCCTTTGAACTTTGGGGTTGGGGAGGACTCCTGAGAAGACCGTGGACAGCCAAGAAAACAAACAAATGGATCATTGGATAAATCAACCCACTTGAGGCACAAATGACCAGGCTCAAACTGTCCTACTTTGGACACATTATGCAAAGACTCTCTGGAAAAGGCTCTAATGCTGGGAAAGGTGGAAGGAAAGAGAAGGGGAGGCTGATCAGCAGCAAGGTGCAGGGACTCAGTTACAGTGGTTATGGGTGCACTGTTGGGAGACATGAAAGAACAGGTTAGGGATAGATCGTCTTGAAGAAAATCTCTCTGTGGTCTAGGAGTTGAAAACGACTTGATGGCATATAATAATCAGAATGCTGATGATTCTCAACTTTATGTTGCTGGACTGGCAATGCCTTGGAGATGTTAAAGCCAATCTGGGGCTTGTCAGGAACTGGTGGGGGAAAATGCTCAAACTAAATTGTAGTAGCTGCTGTGGCTGGTGTGGGTCTTCCGGGCTGTGTGGCCGTGGTCTTGAAGTCTTGTTTCCTA